CTAGAGTTAGTTTAAATTAATCTGCCAGATTGGCAACTCTAACCTAGAAGAGCTCTGTAGGAAAAAGATAGTAACATAAATAATTTTGATATAAAATACTCACGGAATGGTGAGAGAATGGGACTGTGGACCAGCCAGCCAAAATAGCCTAATGAGATAGGCCTGATAATGAAGGCATGTGACAGACCTCACAGTCAGGATCAGCTCAGATCAAGGACCCAGATAGTATGATAGACAGTCCAACAACGGATTATGAAAGCATGTAAGAGGGAGAGTTTAATTTACCTGGACATTTACTCTCAGAGGAAGCTGAGCTGGTGTTCAAAAAGAAGAGAGGGACAGTAGGAACAAAGAGTTGGAGGTTGAAAGTTTCAGGGCACATTCAGAGCATGGAGATTATGTATCTCAGGAGAAGATTCCTGAGCAAGGGGAGCCACTTTACCAATTTGGGATTTTGTTGTAGTTCAGCCCTGTTGGAAAGTTCTTATGATCTTTTGGCACTTTTGAATACTCTAGAATGCATGAGCTGATTCCTATCCATTTAGGAGGTGTGGCTTATTAGAGTGTAAAATTCGTGTCCTGCTCCTTTGAATTACTTCAGATAGAGGTAAAAGACTTCCTAGATCCAAGAATCTGGTAAATACAAAGGCTATAGGAGGCCACAAGCCAATCTAACATAAAAAGGGCAGATCCTGAGAAACATGAACAAAGACAATCCAATTTGAACAAGCTCTGCCCTTGTCAATTCAGTGTTTTCCTGGTGTTCTGCTCTTGACGGAAAAAAAAACTTGCAGATCAATGTTAGATTATAGTATCACTAAGTTATAAAATGAATGTGGAGTCAGTCATCCTTTGGAGACTAGGACATGAGCTTCCTGCTGCAAAAAATTTTTTATAGAGAGTATGTAAATATCTCTTTGACTTAGAGTGGGGTTGCAGTCAATATTAGAGTAGGGAAATGGGCATGTTGGAGAAAGAAAAGAGACATAAAAACGAGGAAGGAAAAAAATATGTGTGTGTGTATCAAACAAGAATAGATATGGATAGGAAAAGATATGGGCTTAAGAGTAGTTGAGCCCTTCTACACTGACTAGAAATATTTATGATTCATATAAGCTGACAGAAAAGGGACAGAAAAGATCACAGAAACTAGGAATTCATGAGAAAAAGAGCAGTAGTGATGGAGAGATGACCGCAGATGGGTAGGTGTAGAGAAATGGGAATAATGACATCTGGAAAAAGAGTGAAGCAAAAATAGCCAGGAAACAGGTCCAGGCTGTGTGGTTCAGGATATTTGAAAGCTAAATTTTTCCTTTTGGCCTCCCTCTTCATATACTTTTACCTGATGTTTAAGAACTGCTGATTTCATTTGCATAATAATTCACATTATCAGTGAACTATGGAACACAGCCCCTAGACCTCTGAGCAGATTCCTTTCATGCTTTCTTGCTCATGTCAATAAACTGCGTATCACCCACCCTAGCTATTCTGGAATATTTAGGCAAATACTCCACTGACTTGAGTCATACTTAGGAGCTGACGTCAGTGTACATTTTAGCAGAGAACCTAGTTAAAGTTTCATGCTCCAGGAAACCTGTTCTGATTAGTTTTAGCTTAAAAAAAGATCAACCTGTTTTTAAGGATTGGCATGGAAAATAATTAAGCAGCAATGTAAGTTTTAGTGACCACGTTTTTATAATTCTAAAATAATATGCAGTCAGGAACAATTTAAACCATTCAAAAGGATAGCAACCCCTTAGAACTTCCTAGAGGTAAAACGTTTTCTTGTTTATTCTTCCAGAAATTTCTATCTATCTAAATTATATACATATAAACTACTTTTAGAAGGATCATCTATACTGTATTATCTGTATTACTTTTAAAAAAGTATAGATAGAATAATTTCATTTATTTATTTTTATTTACTTATTTAGAGAGACCTTGTCACCTAGTCTGGAATGCACTGGCCTGATCATAGCTCACTGCAGCCTCAAACTCCTGGGCTCAAGTGATTTTCCTGATTTAGCCTGCCAAGTAGCCAGAACTGAAGGCATGTGCCACCACGCCTGGCTAATTTTTAAAACTTTTGTAAAGATGGGGTCTCATTGTGTTGCCCAGGCTGGTCTTGAACTCCTGGCCTCAAGTGATCCTCCTGCCCAAAGTTCTGGGGTTATAGGTATGAGCCACTGCACCTGGCTGAATAATTTAATTTTTTAATGGTTGAGTGATATTCTATCATAAGGTTAGTGTCTAATTTATTTAGGCAATTCCCTATTGAAAGCCATTGAGATTTTCTTCAACTTCTTACTCATAAGAGTTACAATCTTTTTAAAGTTTTTTTGTGGTTGCTTTACCATCCTTTACACTTAGTATCTCTAGAGTGATCAGCACAATCTCTGGCACATGGCAAGTATTCAATGAATGTTAATTCCCTTTCTATATATACATATAGATATAATTTTTAATTTTTTTTTAGATATGAGGATGACTTTCTGTTGAGCTGTGTACACTTTCTCCTCATGGGGCTAGGCCAACCAGCTCTTATGAGTTATGTGCTTCGCAGCTATAGATAAGGTTTTTCTCCGTGCGGACATAATTGACATTTGCTTAGATTCATTGCTAACCCTAACTTATTGGAACCCAGTTTAATCAGTGGATCCTACACAGCTTACCTCTGGTGCATCAGTGGTTTCATCTTAGCAGTTAAAAGATGACACATTTTGGCAAATAGGTAGGAAGAAAGCTTTTGATAATCCCTCCAGTTTCAGGTTTATGCACTTAAAAGAAAAACTATTTACTGTGGTTCTTTTGCAAATGCATAGGATTAAATCTCAGTACAGCAGGATGCATATCTACATACTTGGAAAAATAGGGCAAAGGCAATTCCAGTAAAATTTCTCAAAGTGTAAAGTGTTGAAATGGAAGGAACAATCCTGATTCATAGCCAGACTTGGCAAAGGCACAGAAAATAAAAACAAAACTAAAATCCATGGTGATCTTAGTAAGAAGGCATGAAGGGGTGAGAGAGAAGGGAAAATGGCACGGCATGAGTAAATACATAAAATGCAGTTGGGATAAATATAGATGAGTGGAAAATGATTGTAAGTGAAGTTGCTCCGGGAATGTCATGGATTTCCAGCTAGGGGGATTACCGTGTGCAGCTGTCGAATGGGGCCTCATTCCTCAGCTCTCAGGTTCCACTTCTTGGACAATAAAGCTTTTTGGGCAAGTGGCATATTTCTTACCTGGAGAAGCCAATCATCTCACTGTTCCGGGGTAGGTGGGGCATAAGGATAAACAAACCAAAAACTTCCACTTCATTATTTAGCTATTCTTGGACAAGAAAGTACCATTTCAGTCAAACTTTAAAGAATATTATTAGAACAAGGGATAAAATTTTCTCTGTATTTTCGTAGGTTTTTAAAAAAACTTAGAATCACCCAAGGCTACACTACAAAAGATGTTTTTCCAAAATTTAGAATAATACTTGTGTTTGCTTTCCAAACTGTTTTTCTGTTCCAGATTTTAAAAAGAGGTATGAGAATTTATTGGCTCATAATAATAAACATAGCAAGGAAATCGTCTTTTAAGGAAATACAGGAACCCCAAATCTCCTTTCTTACGCAGTATTTACTGAGCCCCCATTGTGAGCTTGTTTCTTGTAGAAAGAATTATTTTTTTTAAGGTAAAGTGATTAAGAGTTATTCCAAAGTATATTCTAATGGCTATTTTAGCAGAATGATGAAACTTCACTAAAATAGCCTTTACATGATTTTTATTATATTACCCCCTTGTTCTGTTTCTGTAGTTTAATAAATGCACACCAGGTCATATATGTGAAAATAGCGTGTGCTCCTTCTGGAGAGTGTAAGAATATCAGTATAAAGGTGCTGTAAAAATGAATTGGGTACTTGAAATGTGTACAGGTCTGTTAATTCACTCCAATGGCATGTACTCATTCTGGGACTTTGATATTGTAATCATTCTACCCCTCCTACATTATGCTACACATAACAGTCATTAAATCACTCCATGATGTAGGGTTAATTTCAGCATACCCAAATACTATCAGTTATGAATGATAACTCTCGGAGTGTCGTTGAGAGTTACAGCATACCTAGTTAATGGTTATTAATTTGGTGCCTATTTTGCCAACTTAGAACACTCAGAACTCAACTTAGAACAAAGCTTTGCACAACTATTTCCCTAGTTACCCTTATCATAGTTCTAACTTTGGTGAAGATTAGCTGAATCGAACATGCCACCTCTATTGCTGCTTCTTTGAGGGGCTCAGGCGCCAATTACCGGTTCCCTACAATTTGCCCGTAATTGACTACGTCCCATAATAGGTAACTCTGGAAGTGACAGGCAGCCTCAAATGTGGTTCTCCCGCCTGTCGATTGGGCCTGGCAGGAAGCTCCGCCTCATCAACTCAGTCACGGGCGGCAGTTGGTCCGGCGTCGGTGAGTGGCGGGTCTTATCTCCGCCCCGGCCGTCCGCTGCGCTGCCTGGGTCGGCGCCGTTTCCAGTCGAGAGATGGCGGCCGCCGCAGGTAGATCGCTGCTGCTGCTCCTCTCTTCCCGGGGCAGCGGCGGGGGCGCCGGCGGCTGTGGAGCGCTGACTGTCGGCTGCTTCCCCGGGCTGGGCGTCAGCCGCCACCCGCAGCAGCAGCACCACCGGACGGTGAGCTAGCGCGCCTGGCGGCTCCGGGGAGGGCGGGGCGGCGCTGGCGTGTGGGAGCTGCCGGCGGGCAGGCCGCCCGGGCAGCAGGCGAGTTACCTCAACTCCCGGCCGCTACCGAGGTTGCCAGGCACCGGGGAGCGGCCGTGCCCTTCAGGCGCCTGCGGCGGCGACCAGGAAGGAAGGGCGGGCGGGAGGAAGCCGAGAGGAGGAGGAGGGGCGACGGCGGGGATGTTCCCGCAGGACCGGGGACACCAGGGCGGGGAAGGGACGGGACTTGAACCTCTCCCTGACCCGCCTCCAATCTCGGTTCCTCCCTCCTTCTTTCTTAATAGCTCTCCCCCAATGCTCCCGAACTAAGCCCGATGCAAGTTGTCCCCCTTTCTTCCTCCTCCAGGCGGGTTGGGGTGTCTTGAGTTGCCGCGGCTGCCTTGTATGTGTCAGGAGAGTGGCAGTGCCATGCTGCTGGGAACTGTCCCCGGAGAGCAACCCAAGACCCCAGCGGGGTCGCTTCCTCGTCCTCTCTCGGTCCCCTGGGAACGGGCAAGAAGGGAAATCAAACTTTATTCCCCTCTGTGACTTCCTGCGTTGTGTGTGACCAGCTCCCTCGAGATGGATGCTGCATTGCTTCAGGAGGCAAGCTCCATCCCCTCGGGTCTTTAGAAGTCCTTTCAGTGGTTCTTTCGAGGGTTGGTTTATAAGGTTGTTCACGCGTGCCTGAAGAAGGAATGGTGGGCAGCAGGCACAAGAGAAGGGTGTATGACAAGTTGTTCACAGAGGCAGAGATTTGGTGATTGTGTTAACCAGCTATTGCTGGGTTTCATTGGCTGGCAATGAAAGGGGGTTTCTGTTTGAACAGCCTTGGAGTGTGTGAGTGTGAGTGTGAGTGAGAGAGATTTTTTTCCATTGTAAGAGATCAACTTGACATGGAGTTCTTGACCTAACAAGTCAGGAGTTTCGCGGTTCCTTAGACTTCCTAGACCTATATCCCACACGTGTGGGTCTTTGGCCAACTCTGAGAGAAAGAGTGTAGCTTTTATTTCCCATGGCTAAGTTATACAGTGTGGTAATAAGAGGATCACTGCAGACAGCCTGATAGGAGAAACTAGTACCTTCAGCCCTCAACAAACACATCACCTGCCTTGTTCTGATCATATAGCTCTTAAGAGGAAACTGAACAAGAGCTAGTAGAGAGGATACTCCAAGACCAATGACAGCATAAAATCGTGCCTGTAAGAGCTATAAGAACTAATGCTCTGCAAATGCAAGATAGTATTGTTATTATTAGTCATAGATATGAACCTTATCCTCATTCTTGTGAGAAAATTGTACTTCTTCACCTTTGGCATGCTGGCATATTGCTTTGCTGAAGCTTTTGGGCAAGAGCCGAGCTTTTCCACAGTTCAATTTAATTTGCATGATTCGTAGCCTCCAGTTACATGTTTTGTTCTCTTAAAAACATAAGGCCACTGAAAAATCTGCTTGCATCCCCCTTTCCCCCAAACTGTTTCCAGACATCCCAAGTTGTCTTTAACTCTGTATTTTGATAAGACATCTTCTGACTTTGCACAGTTTGTTTTTAAGACTGTTTGGGTGTGGTATTCATTTAGCATTTTTATTTGTGCCATGTATACTTTCCACTATGCAAATTTGTCAGGCTGTGAGTGTCTTCCTTGTGGGAATACTTCATGAAAGTGTTCTCTGTGCTATTCTAGGGTGGATAAAAGTGATGTGCTGAATTTGTAACTGAAAGCACGATTAAAATGAAGTGTTATTTCTGAAGGGCAGAAGTGTTTTCATGGGAATGGTGACTTGTAAATGAATTTAGAATTGTAAGATCTTGAAAAAAGTTGAACATGATTATATAAAATATGTAAACAGATTTTTTATTTTTCTGCAATTGCTCTGAAGCCATCATGTCTACAGCTGTCTCCATCTGATATTCTATGATTCCTCACAAGACATTCAATGTGAAAAGTATTGAGGCCCAGAAAGGGGAGAGACTTGGCCAAAGTTACACAGGTAATACCTAACAATTTTAGGATACCCATCCACCTCAGATATTCTGACCCTCTTATTGTGTTATTTTTATTGTAAAGTGCAACTGCTCCTTATAAAATTTACTTTTATCTTTTAGGGAAGTATTGGCATTTCAAAACTCCATGAATAGGGATTCTCCTTTAAGGAGGTGTTGATTCGAGGCACATATATTAGGTGAATATTGGAACAAACAACTTGCCAGAAAGAATAGGTGTTCTTATAAAGGTCCCTGAGAGACACTAAGGTTGAATCTTGCATAGGAGACATCCTGTGTGTATGCAGCAGATGGCAGTCTGCATTGGATGGGATCACAAATCCAGCTTGTGCCACTTTTGTTCTGCTATAGTAGGTATGGTAAATTAGAGCCAGGGGTGCATAACCAATTACATTACCGCTTAATATTTTCCTTGAGAAATCCATCTTTTCCAAGTTTGGAGAATGAGTCTGAAGCAATACAGTGGTAGTTCAGCTAATTGGTAAATGCGATTGTGAGGTTATAAATCCCCCCTGCCCTGTTAAAACATCATTCAGCTGAGTGAATAGGAGTAAAGGTGCAGGGGCTTATTGAGTATTTTCAACACCATCTAGTATAGTTTTTTCCTTCTCTCCAGCTTGTGACTGTAACCAAAGCTGATGTAAAATGTTTGTTGCATGCCTTTCTGTTAGTGAAGGTGGCTGCTATTTTTAAGGATGATTCTTTGAAGGGGAACTGCCTTTCATTGTGAGTTGTGTAATTTCATTGCTAAATCAAACTGTCTCATCTCTGATTCTAACAGCCTGACTGTTGGCATTTTCTAGTGGTTAACTGAATTACTGCATCTTTTACCTAAGTCTGTCATTGCACTGTTATAGTTGCGGCTGTCCCTCTCTGCTTTATGCATTGCAGTTCTTTGGCAACGATATTGTTTCAGCCTAACCTGAAAGTTTGAACAGAGATTACATTGCCTGCCACAGAGGCAAGTCCTAATTCTCTAATTGAGTTCCTCGTGATCTGGCCCAATCTTACTTTGCCGGATTCACTCCAGCACAAATACCACTCTATTGTACTTAAGCCAGTCTCTGTACTGTCCCCAAATGTCCCATACATCCATATTAATATTAAACCTTTATGCAGTTTTTGTAGCTGAATTTCAGTCTTAATCACTCCCAATCACTCCTCTAACCTCTAAGATCCATTTCAGGTTAGAGACTGACCTACAACTCCTTTTTTTTTTTTTTTTTTTTTTTTTTTTGAGACAGAGTCTCACTCTTTTGCCTGGGCTAGAGTGAGTGCCGTGGCGTCAGCCTAGCTCACAGCAACCTCAAACTCTTGGGCTCAAGCAATCCTCTGCCTCAGCCTCCCGAGTAGCTGGGACTACAGGCATGCGCCACCATGCCTGGCTAATTTTTTCTATATATTTTTAGTTGGCCGATTGATTTCTTTCTAATTTTTAGTAGAGGCGGGGTCTCGCTCTTGCTGAGGCTGGTCTCGAACTCCTGAGCTCAAACAATCCGCCTGCCTCGGCCTCCCAGAGTGCTAGGATTATAGGCGTGAGCCACTGCGCTGGCCTACAACTCCTTTTGAATCTAGCATCTTTACTTTACAGACGAGGAAACAAACCTAATAGAAACTGAGGGAAGTGGCTTGTTAGGTTATGTTTATGGTTACTAGCAGAGCTGGGATTGAAATTCCTTTTTTTTTTCCTTTGATTTTTTTCACCATCTCTGCTATACCTGGCATGAAATTCCTTTAAATGGAGGTGGATTCAAGAATTCTTAGTCTGAATCTTAATTTGTGTAATTCCTGGCTCTTAATCTCTTTCTGTTGTTCTGTTCTGCCCTCTGAATTCTGAGAGGATTTATTATCTTCAGGACACAGATTGAATTGACACAGACTTGTTCTCTAACTCTGCGGTCCCAACTCTTGGCCTGTTAGGGACCAGCATGCAGAGCTCTGCCCCCACTCCCTGTCCATGGAAAAATTATCTTCCATGAAGTTTAGGCGGGTGGGCAAGGTAGCGAAGCTTCATCTGTATTTACAGCCACTCCCCATTGCTCGCATCATTAACTGAGCTCTGCCTCCCCGCTACCTCCGTGGAAAAATTGTCTTCCATGAAACTGGTCCCTGGTGCCGAAAAGGTTGGGGACCACTGCTCTGAAAGTTTCATTTGTGGGCATGTTGTCTTACTGGGGAGATAAATGCAAAGATGTGTATTTTATTACATTTGTGTCTTTCATAGACTCCAGCACAATGCTAGGTATATAGGTGATACTTGGACAAGCATTAGTTAGTTGGCTATACTCCCTTTTTTTCTGGTTGCGAGGGAAAAGGTATGCTCTTTTTCTACTCTCCCCATCCTCCCTACCCCAGGTTTGACTTGCTTAGTAGCCTATTGCTTAGGTAGCCACATTTGGGTAATTGCTTTAAGCTTGGTATTGCCAGTGTTATCTTTGGTTGTATATTACACTTCTTTATGGTGGGTTGATGGAAAGAGTTGATACCATTGGATTAGCTCAGCAGTGGTCACTAGCTTTCTGCCCATAGCCAGCAAAAGTATGATAATTACCCAGATTATTATAAATATGTTTGAATCAGATTCCAAATTTGTTGTTTTATTGTACTATAATATTAAGATTTTTTTTTGAGACAGTCTTGCTCTGTCACCCTGTGTAGAGTGCAGTGGAATCATTATAGCTCACTGCACCCTCAAACTCCTGTGCTCAAGTGATCCTCTTGCTTCAGCCTTCTGAATAGCTGGGACTAGGAGGTGCGTGCCATGATGCCCTGCTAATTTTTCTATTTTTAGTAGAGATGAGGGTCTTGCTCTTGCTCAGACTGGTCTCAAACTCTTGAACTCAAGCAATCCTCCCGCCTTGGCCTTCTGGAGTGCTAGGATTACAGGCGTGAGCCACCACACCTGGCCAAACATTAAGATTTTGAGGGTTGTGAATAAATATGTTTAGAACAGACTTCTCTTGTTTTTTAAGGAAACAACCATTCTTTTATTTATCTTATTTTGAAGCCCATAAAATATTTGAATGAGTGACTTGGATTTATTGAAATTCTGATTATTTGAACTTTTCTAAGTCCCAAGGGTCTCTATTTTATGCTTCATGGAACTCAGCATCAAGAGTGGTGTAAGTAAAAGACAAAAAGTTGATAGCAAATCCTTCAGATAATGATATGAATGAAGTGCTATTGCAGAAGACCATGACCACTCCTTGATTTCTACTTCAAACATGAGGCAGCCCTAAAACAAAAATGATTTGTTATTGTCAAGTTAAAATTACGACATCTGTAAATTTGGAAAGGAGAACTTTATTTCTTATGCTGGGTTGCAACCTGCAGGCTGGGAAGAGGGGCCTCTGGCTGAGACAGAAAGCAGCATTTCACTGGAGCAAGGGTGGGATAGGAGTTTTATGCTAAATGGTTTGGCTCAATATACATATTTAATTAGTTATAGGAGGAGCTACGAATATTCATGAAGAAGGGTCACATGCATATGAGGTAAGCGAACATATGTTACATATGTCCCATGTTTATTTCGGGCTGGAGACTTAACATTAAAATGCATTAAAATTAGGTTCTGTATGTCAAAAGGTGAAACAACAAAGGTGCTTTGTGCACATCCTCTGTAAATGGTCACAACCAGTCTGTGGTCAGTGGTCAGTTATCAGGAAGGAATGTGTAATCATGTTGAAATTGAGTCTAGCCTCAGCATTAGACAGTTGGTTGAA